TCCACCTTTATTCTTTTCTTTACAATAAGGCTTTCAAATAAGTCATGGCTGTACGGCAGTGAAGCATTGGTGTTGAGCACTGATGTCGTTGATGATGATGATGATGATGATGTACTCCTCCCATTTTTCGGTGATTGAAACTGTAGCAACGACCTCTGTGCAGAGACGAGTTTATTGCGGTGTGGTGATCTGTGCATCTCTGCGGTCAACTGCGCTGGACTGATGGGCTTGTCTTTGACACCAACAGGGTTTCTCACAACAGGTTGCTCAGCGGGTATAAGTCTGACGAACACATTCCCTTGGTTTTCCAGGCACGGTGACTTGTTCCTTAAAAAACTTGTACTACTGTGGTAAATAGCTGGCATCGACTCGCTGTTTTGCGGTGAGGCTTTTAAGCCGATGGCTTTGGCTGAAGACTAATCGTCCTCTTGGTGTGAACTCCCTGAGAGTTTTTCAGGAACCTTACAACTAGAAATAGTGTCATGCCACATCGGCCGTCGCGGTGACTTGTTAAAAAACTTGTACTACTGTGGTAAATAGCTGGCATCGACTCGCTGTTTTGCGGTGAGGCTTTTAAGCCGATGGCTTTGGCTGAAGACTAATCGTCCTCTTGGTGTGAACTCCCTGAGAGTTTTTCAGGAACCTTACAACTAGAAATAGTGTCATGCCACATCGGCCGTCGGCTGGTGTTACCCTGGTCACCTTAGTTGCTCTGTGCAGCAGGGCAGATAAGCGAAAACACGCTACTGTTGACGTCTTCCACCGTACACTTTAATTTTCCGAAGCCAGACGGATGTATCGAACCGGCAATTCTAATACTTGTCGTCTGGTCTGTTGTCGGATATCAACGATCACTGTTGACAGATACCCAAGCTTTACTCAATGAGGTAACGTCCACCTGCGATGCAGCGCGGCCAACCTCATGCAAGTACTAGGTATCTGATAGGACGGTGGCTTTACTGGAGCCTCGGCAACAGATTCCTCTTAATCGCAACCATGGTTCGGCAGGCTGTTGACGGGGTCATGGATACTTTGGTTTCAGAAGTGTCGGGTATATACTCCTGCTCGAACGTCATTGTGCTTTTGACTTTTGTTTTCTAGGATGATGATGAATTCCTCATCTGTTTGCGTCTGTCTTTGAGAGAAACTTTGAGCCAACTGTAATGAGTCGATAATAGTGCCCATCTTCGAGAAGGCCATTTGCAATAAACGTAAGTACAAAGGCTTCAGTTCGACTCGTGGTGTTACGAGGTTTCCTTCGTCATAGATTGCTCGTCCTCTCGGAGCGGCACGCGAAACATAGACGTATGAGAGTCAAGCGCGATTTCAAGCTTGGGGGCGGATCGGCTGGTGGAAATTCCTCAGCAAAATCAACAGTCCCGCGTGTTGTCCTTCACTATACAAGGTACTTATAAACGGGGGACTTTCTTCAGCGGAGAATCAGGCATCCCCAATATCGGTAGCATTGTTTGACGCCTGTAGATACTTTAATCCGGGTCAGAGGGTTAGCGGCCAGACACCTTACCACATCGCAACACTGTTACATTGTGACTATCTATGCATATGCAGTCCCCTCAGTGTTTTTTGTATCTTGCTGATTACTGGAAAGATTAATCGTATTATCTGCGTCGCAAGGAGAAAGACTAACTTCCGTCTACACGCTACTTTCATCGATATCCTTGACTTACACTGCCTCCAGTGCACCCAACGTTTTTCGGTGCGGAGATAATGAAATAGGGCTTCAGTATATGGATTGTTGTTTGTCTATGGCGGTTCATGTACTCCGGAGCATTTGAACTGTTTAAGGTTTGGTCCAAAACCGATTCAGATTGTAACAAGACAGGAATGTGAGAACTTCGTTTGTTAGTCATTATAAGGCTGTTCATGAATTGTACAAATGGACAGGAACATTAAGCGAAGGTCCTTGAAGTATCCCGTTGCACCAGGACCTATTATATCATATTCCCTTTAAAGCACCGCATTTGTGATAGAGGTTTGTTAGGATATTCTGCTTTCGAGCCTCGTCACATTTCATTTGCCTCGGTTATCGAATGAGTTTGAATGGGGTCTCTTGTATCTACAATAAAATTTCAAAGGGATCCTCTTAGCTCTTCGTTGTAATGTTCCACTGCTGAATGGAACCAGTTTGCCTTTTAATCATCAAAGAAGCGTTTGAGTGCCATGTGACGGTTTTGGGCTTCAATGTCTGTTGAGCTTCCATACTTACGTTTCCCTCTAGCTTGACCGGTAACGCATCGAAACTTATGCAATGGACACCGGCTTGGAAGCGGAGTTTTCTCGTTTCTGTTCCACGGTCATCGAAGCAGTTGCGGAAAACTGGACCAGCACCAATTGTTCGCAGCCAAACGGCTCACCATTCCTCTGGCCTGTCGAATTTTCCAGCTGCACGACCGATTTTGAAAGGGTCATCACCTTACTTCGATTGCCTTCAGTGCGTCAGTTCTCTTTTAGTCCAGGTAAGCGTTCGTGGTTTCTCCACTTTTTTAGCTTCTCACCAGTTGGAAATGTATGTGTTTTCAACAGTGTAAATCGGAAATCCACTGTGGGGTACTGCAAATCTTCGATCATTTTCCCGACCTTTTAATTTTTGATTTCTTTTCGTATCTAACCTGTTTGATGTCAATTTCCCATAGTGTATTTGATGAAAGTATATTAGTATATAGTATATATAGTATAAATAGTATAGTGTAGTATGGTAGATGAAAGTGGGTTTCTTATATTACGTAGCCGAAATGTCGATTTATAAGAAATGAGGCAGATCACTCATCTGTTTGAAGGCCTTGAGGGTTTGCTAGCGTGAGTTTTAAGGTTTATAAATTTCATTGTTTTTGAATGCAACTTGGCTCAGTTCGTTCGCCCACTGGATCCAAGTAGAACGAAGCATTGTGTTCAGGCTTGTAAGATGTAGACAGTGGCACTCAACGGCGATGAAAGACTGAGAAACACTATTAACTTTCGCATGATTTATCATTGATTTGTGTCAGCTCTGATTTAACGAGGGCTTTTGAACCGAAGAACATCGAAGGCCACAAGTGAATTTGAATAGGATTGGGTACCGGGCACAACCAGTGGTTGGACCTGTCGCTATTTTGTATTCATATCGCCCACGTGAGTTTTTATTTAAAAATTGGCCCACAGCTGGCTACCACATCTGGACAATTTGTTTTTGGCTTTGCATTTGCGTACAGGCATAGTCTTCTGGTGCTCGATAAATCCAGTGTAGAGTGAATATTATACGTAAACTCATGGTCGACTACCAGGAGACAGCAGAATTCCGCGTTCTCGAGAAGCCGCTTGTTTTATAAAACAGTACGACTTCACCGAAAAGTTGGCTTTTGATTTAAGTACAGATTTATGCCCCCCCCCCTATAAACTTATTCAGCTGCACAGTTTTTTGTACCGTTTGTACGGTATCACACATCCTCTGGGACGTTCTGCCAGTCCAGTTGCTAAGACTAATCGATTTGGTTTTGGAACCGTTCACTGGTGTTGAGTGATTTGGCTTGAATTTTCCGCCCATGATGGGCTTGATCGTGTTCAGCAGTGACCGCCTCAAAGACTGACGCGATCTTGTTCAGGTACACCTTCTCGGAACACCGTGAGCTGTTCCAAGTCTAGTTAAACTTCAATGGGTTTCATTGGTGGGTTTGGGACCACTGTTATTTTAAGGACACTTTCCCATGTGTTACCTTCTGGTGATCACAATTTTATAACTTATATTTCTCCCATTTAACAGTTTCCGAGCAAAATCATTCGGGACTGAAATCTGATTCACGGTCCCAGGAACTGAGAGAACTAGGTAACAGTGCCTGGCGCACCAGCAATGTTGCTGATGCATTGAAGCTATATACGGAAGCAATTTTTTTTGCCGAAAGTGCCGAGAAGAAGGCTTTAGCTTTTGCAAACAGATCATGTGTCCTGGCTCGCTTAGGTGCAGATTCAGCCGTACTGCAGGATATCGAACTGGCATTTCACGTGAGTTAGATAAACATACAAATTGTGTCACTATGATGCTGTGTTTTTAGTTTGTTGTTGACATTTTACCTTCGCTTCACAGTTTTCTTCCGGAAAGATGTAATCGGTTCGGGACATTTTATGGGCGTATTAGTCGGGTGCAGATTGGGCGGTTTGGTAGGGAGTTCGGGCTGTGTATATCAGGACCAGTGCTTTTTCCGATCGGTAACTTTAGGAGTAATCCTTGGTCGAATCAGCTGTGTCAACATGTCTTGTGTGTTTACTGGTGGTTGATCAGATGGCCTTTGATCTCTTCGCCAAGCTAATTGCAAGCCAACTGTCAACCTCCTCAACCAAACATTTGGCCAAACACCAGTTATCAGCTGTGAAGTTCAAGAAAGCAGGAGTTTTCAGAGCAATCTTAGGTGGTGTTGATTTGGTCGGTGTCTCAAGGCCGCTTGAGTGGAAGAATATATCTAATACAGTTTGGTTCACGTTATCGTCCATGAAATGTACGCCGAGTGCAGTGTATCATCAAGCAACATTTTTATCATCTAGGACTGCAAATTTGCTCATGTGTATGCAATTTACAATTTCAATTACATAACAAAATTCGTTCAGCTGTACACCTTGGTGCCTAGCTGCCATGCCACGCGAAGGAGGCACGAGGGCTGGGATACTGCCAGGTTGCCCAAGCCTAGACAGGGGAAGTCGAGAGGCAGAGGTCGGGTTCGAACCACGGACCTTCCGGTCAGTAAATTCGCGCTCTAACCACTTGGGCCATCTCGCCCCAGTTACATGGGCAAGGTGATTCCTATCACCAAAGATTGAGTTATGAAAACGCTACTCTAAAATATGCCTTCGTACGGATTCAGAGTCACCGACAGAGTCAAAATTAACGGTTCTTGATCGCATGCCCGGTATAATCACCGGAGCATCCAAAGCCGTAGTTCTGAGTATTTAGTGTCATGTACCTAAAGGGTACATTTATCAACCTGTGTGACCAGGTTACTCTTATTCCGAAAGCATCTATCCTGGGAGGCAGTGAGTCTGTCGTAAATTTGGGGCCGAGCCTTCTTACGTTGTCCGTGAATAAGCGCTTTATCGGGGGCTGCACCTGAATGTGCAGTGAGTCGCACTCAAACTTCTCTTCTGTTTGAAAAAAGGCCAAAATCATCTTTCAAGACATTTCAGTCCCAGTCCACAAGTTAGTTTTTTCTTGCGGCGTGAAGTAGACAGAATGAGAGTGCACAAGCACAAAGATTCGTAGCAAGGCCAATATGCTCCAAAACGGTTCACGAAGTTTCTAAACTGGCCCTTCGCAGCGGGTGGATCATGCGCTTGCACATTATTATTCTTTCTGTGAAGTAAGCATTTTAATATCCACCCCTTATTTGATCCACTGATTTCCATGAAACCTATTCTATTTCAAATTGTGCGTCAAAGAGACGTCACTGATCGATATGTGTTTGGCCAAGACTAGGTAACTGCCTATGTATGGAACTGAAGGGTGCGAGCTGGGTCAAGAGGTTAAAGAGAGAATTTACTGACCGGAAGGTCCGTGGATCGAACCCGACCTCTGCCTCTTGACTTCCCCTGTCTAGGCTTGGACAGCCTAGTTGTATCCCAGCCCTCGTGCTTCCTTCGGGTAGCATAGCAGCTGGGCACCGAAGGGGTGTTACGGCTGAATGATTTTTTAAAATTATTTTATGTAACTGAGGCAGTTTCACGATGGAGCTCGACGTCTCTTTTTGAGAGGTTTTTACCAGTGAAGGTCGTTTCACTTCAACTTTTGTCATAATTTATTCCCTTGGAGTGCATTTGAGCTCCGCCGTTTTAATGAGTACTACAGGATTATCGACGTTTCACAGAAGAAATAAACTCTATCCCTTTTTCGTGATGCCGTCGTCCTGACTGTGACGAAACCTAAGGTGAACCTGAACGGAATTTCGACGTTTGAATTAGTGCGTAACTGTTCACTGCAGGTCACAGTGCCACTGTAGCCGTTTAAATTTCGCAGCTACATGGAAAGATGTTCAACTGAATACTTCGTCCTTTTATGACAATTTTTCACACCCCGATTTTGTAAAAATTGGTTCTGAGTGGACGATTTCATTGCCTTCTTCCTCCCAGAGACATACTACTCAAGTTGTATTAATGTGCTTAAAAACGCAGCAGCTTTGATTCATCATTTCTAACACGTAAACTACAAATGCAACCTATTTTTCAGTATGATTACCCGAAAACCCATCGAAGTCGACTGTTGGTCCGCCGGGCGGAGTCGTTTTTAAAACTAGGCCAGACAAAAGAGGCACAAGACGCGTTTATTCAAGCCAAACAATGTGTTAACCTTGAGGAGCCCGGCACGAGTGCCTTGAAGAAACTCATTGACCAGGGTCTTGCCAAATGTACTCACGTGTTGCAGTCAGGCGATCCTCATGTCAGCTCGACGTCTGGATTACCAATATTCGTGCGCCATCCTGAGCCACCATATCCGCCAACTTGTGTGAGAGCCGTAGTCCAATCGGATTCAGGACAAAGGACGCCGGAGATTCGTGGTGTTCCTGACCCCAACAGTCCCATTCCTTTTGAGGTATGCCTTGGAGACAGTGGAATTGGATGGCAGGTGGTCGTAAAGAGATCAGTCAAACCAGGTAAAGTAACCTAACAGTCACAAAAGCAGTGTAATTCACCCAGTCACCCCCCAGATTTTGCCCTCTAGTCGATGCGTTATCTTGGTATGAAATACAAACCCTTTACTCCACTGTAACCTGTGTGAACAGCACTTGTCTTCGAATTGAAAATCCACTGGAATCTCGGTCCTATTGATCGAATGGATATTATATAGTTTAACATCGCTTTCGCGAATGCTTTTGTTTCGGCGGGGTTGCTGTATGACAAACTGTGTGACAGAAGCGCGGCTCCATTTCAGGTTTAAGCGTCGCCGTTAGGATGGGCCCGTAATGGCGGCATCTGTGTTTGAAACTTATCCTTCACCAGCCAGCACTATATGGGAATTTAAAGTATAATATCGTTATATTGGAAGAAGTCACTGTATGAATCTTTTTTCTGGAGTTTGTGTAGTGGCCCGGTGTTCGAAGACCAGCCGTCCCTAATAACCAAACATCACATCATTTGGACGGATTTGTCACGTGCAGGACACGGACCAAACGAAGGCATGTCCTGATTGGTCAGAATACCAGCCAATCCGGATCGAGCATCTCCGACTCGACGTTTCTCGCCCCCTCACGGAGATTTTGGCACGACTTTGTGGAACACTCTGTGGCCACCCTATGAATACAGTTGTAATAATTTTCCTTTGTCTCCATGAAGGGCTGTCCAGAGCTACCGTGCCTTTTGATATACCATAGTTGGCGGAGCAGGAAGCCAAGAGAAGCCAAGTTGCATTACCGTTCAGCAAGACACAACATTCGGGTGATCAAAACACCGGTGTCCAACACTGATGTTGCGCTTTTGACCTGTTCACAGGGGTTGACAACCAGCTTGCAAACATTTCATCAGTCGCGGAGACTAGTGACTGACTGCTTGTTTGTTCTGTTAGTTCCGCGCAGTTCTCGAAATGCTTCAGACTAAACGGGGTTGGGTTTTCTAAGTTTGTCTCAAATGTGCTACCGGTGAAATGGGTGACCCTGAAAGGCACAGTTTGCTAGAGAACCACTATGTTGCAGAAAGTTACGTCTATATCAACGTTCGTTCCTTATAATAGTCTAGGTTGATTAAGCTCATAGCTCCACAGCTCCCCCCTTCAGAGGTCCATCGGTATGCCAGGTAGTGTAACCGTGATGGGGCTACTTGTTATCTTGCCATGAACATGCCATCGCCTTCAACACTCTCCCTCTTTCCGGTGATCGAAACTGTACCAGCTTGGACCATTGTGCTTATGGTACACGGCTTAAAACGGATCAAATGATTGATTGATTGTACGAAACCGGTGCAAAACGAAACCTGAATTACAATGATGCTCGGCTGCCAGTGCGTTGATTTCTTCAGCCGATATGTTGGCTTTATATCTGGCCCTCATCCAGTTGTTTTTGGCTGGAGCACACTGCACCTAACCGAGCGGTGTAATGTGCGAGTGGAGTCACCCCAATCGATACCAAAAGTTGTACTGCTCAAATGTAACCTCATGGCTTTCCTTCAGTCGCTATCGAAAATAAGGTGGATAATGGGGACAGGTGCATTTCATTTTGTGCCGAACATGTCATCGGCGGTTGTTTTGCCGCGGAATTTTCGACCCTTAAGTGACAAATTGTTGATCCGTAACAAAAGCAGAACGAATCGAATGTGCGCTTGGAACGGTGTAGGGCTCGCGGCAAAATGAATGGACTCCATGTTTTTCAACATAAACTCGCTCCTGGTGATTAGAACAGGAAGAACTTCGGTCACTATTTGGCAGGTCATTTGTTTAGAAAACGAAAGCCGATTACTTTCAAGGGACTAGTTTGAAAGCAATGTCTGACAGTGCACGCTAAATAGGCTGGATCGTTCCATGTTGCTTCTCCACCGAGCGAGTCTGTGGCGATAAGTGCCTGCCATTCTGTTCCGGAAACCCTATAACTCACCGCTAAATTTTCTATACATCCGAATGAAATTTAAACCGAAGCTTGGGGATTAATATCTGAGGGCAGCGGATTGTATCTTTGTACAGTTGTTGGGCTATCAATCGGCTCTAGGTGCAGGCTGCATTTGGTCTGTCCGACGCTATGTGGCGTAACGTTAGCCAACCAATGATAGCGCAAGAGTGGTCAGGCGTCGCGTTACTCTTTCCAACCATCCCATCACTCGTGGCAATGCTAATCACGCCAGTAGTAGTACGATTATTTTCTCAGCTGCATGTTTTACATGGATTTACATGGAATGGCAACATGGACGTCAGGCTAGTCATGAAAAAATCATGAAACTCTAGAAACCCAGTTACCGTTTATGAAAAAACTCACCAAAGCGGGACACTCTGGGCCCTACACCAAGGTAATCGATAATCATTCAGCTGTAACATCTTTTGAGTGCCTAGCTGCCATGCAACCCCAAGGGAAGACGACGGCTGGGATTCTGCCAGGTTGCCCAAACCTAGACAGGAGAAGTCCTGATGCAGTTTGAACCGCAGACCTTCCGGCCAATAGATTCGCGCTCTAAACACTGGACCATCTCGTTTTGAAGATGATAGGGTTAGTGAAAACGCCTTTTGACTTTCCATTTGTAATGCTGTTGGCGCGAATTATCTTTCAACGTGCAATCTTCATACGTTTTAATGGAGACTTCGAACCGTTGCAGCCATTATTTATTTTCCTTTATAAAGCCAGATTGTTCCGCATGACTATTCTACGGTTGCAACAAAATAATTCCTAACTGGTGTTGTCGCTGATATCGTTCGCGAGGATGATAAATTTCATTCACGTGCTTCCCGTTTTCTACTCACCGCTAGCCCTGTTCTTCGACTTTTCCACACAATCTTTGTAGACTTGGAACGCGTCATTAGGTAGGTTCACTCCCACCCCGTATGTACAGACACCCGCCTTTTCGTCGAACTTACGCGTTGCTTTCTTTCGGATTTATTTTTGTTCACTATGCTGTTCCAACTCTTTGCGTAAGATTTCGTTGTTGTTTGTTAAAAAGCGTATACTTAGGAGGCATTACCAATGATATTCGCCATCTCAAAAATCGTTTTTTTTCGCTGTATGGTTTTTCATTTGAATGTCATTTTTCACCTTTATCATCGGTTCATTCCGATGAGGACGAAACCGAAAGACTAGGCGCTTCGCTCTTGCATCGCCTCACAGCTGGTGTTGTCAGTCATTTTGACCGCTGTCTAGATTTACACCGAAAACTGCCTTGCTATTTGCCATCCTATTGGTGGAGACCGTCTACGATGGACTAAGACCTTCGCACGCTTCTCTGAATTCCGTTACGGCTTCTCTACAACGAGTACTGATAAAATCGGTGGAAAAGTGTCGATCAAGAGGGGTTTACACTGCACAGGTTTGTGTAACCCGACAAAAATCTGATAAACAGGACGCACACTTCTCCAAGCTGTGCGTTTGTTCATCAACCATTGAACAGAAACAGTAAAAGTGTCGATCGAGAGGGGTTTACACTGCATAGGTTTGTGTAACCCGACAAAAATCCGGTAAACAGGACGTGCACTTCTCCAAGCTGTGCTTTTGTTCATCAACCATTGAACAGAAACAGTCAGAAACAGTGATGTCAGCACAGATGTGCAAAGACCTAGGCTACCGGAAGAAGTGGGCGACTACAATACGTGAGGGTCAAGACAAAAGTTTTTATGGGATCGCCCGAAATTGGACCTCAGCGGTGAACTGAAGCCCGCTTACACAGGATCCGCTCACGCTGTGTAGTTCAGAATACTATCAGGCGTTTCAAGTCAATCACTGTGCATTGTAAGCACGCCGCACTGTGGAGTCACTTTGGTAGGGGCAAAGTGAGGTTATGAATGATATGATAATTGGGGCAACTACTCTACAAGTATGGTGTGGAATTTGGAATCTGTTCTTATTTTTATGGGCAGTGTCGTGCTTTCAACAGACAAGCTACAAGTATCTATAGGTTTGTAGGTGTTTGTTGTGTTTTGACCGCATTTTTGTTTAGCATGTAACAAAAATTCCCCAGCTATAACACCCTTTTGGTGTTTAGCTACCATGCCACCGAAGGAAAGCACAAGGCGTGGGATACTGCCGGGCTGCTCGAGCCTAGACAACATCAGTCGAGGTGCAGACTTTGAGTCGAATCACGAACCTTCCGATCACTAGGGTTTGCTCGTTAACCCTCATCTGTCTCGAGCGCGAGGGTTTGTTTGTAACAAACCGAATGGGGTAGCAGTTCCGTGTTGGTCACAATCTCCTTTGCAATGGAACAACAGAAGATTACGCGACGCTTCCAGGCCTCAGGTGGATGGATTGTTAACGTCCAGAGCGTGTGAAGCGAAGTAATACACGCGAGTGGAGCGGTCGGCTGTTTCTTTTCAGCGAATTACTTCAAAGTGATTGTGGTGCATAACCTCGGCTTTTCTAATAGTGGATCTGCTTCCAAGTATTTTCATACCCGTGGAGTCATCAGAAAGATGGGTCGACTTCACTGGGCGGCTTCTCCGAGACATTTTCAACTGGACGACATTCCTCTCGCAATTTCGTTCTGTTCCGAACCCTCCTGACTGAATTCCTCAATACAACTTGCCGCTTTTCGCCGAGTTTTTTCTTTGGCTTCTTCCTGTTGTGTTTTAGAACATTGTCATTTCTACTTCCCCGCTAATGGTCCCTTACTTTTGTATAGGGGAATTGATTCTGGTGGATAAACCCTACGCACGTCGGATTCACAAAGATCGCGTCTACTCGCATTGCTATCAGTGCTTCCGTCGATCGCTCAATCTCCGACCATGCCGAGGCTGTTCTGAGGTGCGTTTTTCATTCCATTTTATTGTCACTGACCTGACTAGATCAGCTGATTTATAAGGATAATTTCCGAGCAAATAAAGATTCTCTTGTATTCTGATAATGTTTCACAATGCACTCCGCGTCGCCTATGCTCAACGTGGATCATAGATGAAGCTGCAGTCTCCTTACTTGAAACCGCTAAGTTCGGGTCTCCGCCTGACATGTTACTCTTGTGTGGGATCGGAAAACATGACAGTATATCTCGTCTTGTGCATAGGAACATATGGGAGCTCACAGATCGAAGGACATGGTTTTTTATCTTCAGTTTGCTGTAAATGTGCGAGATGGGGGTGAGATGGCTCAAGTGGTTAGAGCGCGGATTTACTGACCGTAAGGTCCGTGGTTCAAAGCCGATCTCTGCCTCTCGGCTTCCCTGCCGTCGTGTTTCCTTTGAGTGGCATGGCAGCTAGGCACCGAAAGGGTGTCACAGCTGAACAATATGTGCCTGTAACAGTATATCAAACTGGATATTCCCGTTAGATTTCGCGTGGGGGGGGGGAATTCCCGGACTGTAAACGATGCAATGAAAGTGCATGAAAATGCAATCACTGCAGGATTGTGGTGGATAATTAATTGTATTATGTGATCTCATGGAACCATGACAACAACAGCGATTTGGCTCGTCTGGCAGTCAAAATACACGTGGTACTGGATAGTGAATTTCCACACGTTGTTTAATTTCCAGTCTGTTTGAGTTCAGCCGGACTTTCAGTTGTTCCCATCTTTTAGTCAAAATTAACCTGACCGTCCTCGATAGCTCATTGCCCGACGAATTTGTCTGCACAAATTACCTGGTCGCCCATCTAGTGTTCAGTCGGTCCCATTCACCGAGATTGCTCAAGTGGTCAGAGTGCATATTTACAGACTAGAAGATCCATGGTTCGAACCCGACCCCTACCTCTCGACCTCCGCTGTGTAAGCTTGGGCAACCCAGCCCTCGTGCAACCTTCGGGTGAGATGGCAGCTAGGCACCGAAAGGGTGCTTGCTACAGCTGAATGATATATATTCACCGAACTGAATCAGCCTTACCGTCATTTTTGACTCGGATCAAAGGTTTCGGTAGGCGGTTACTTCACTGGGAGAGTTATATACAGTTTGCAGGTTGAACGTTTGTCCGTATTTTGGGAAAAATGAGTTTACCAGAAGGTCCGATATGTCCGCCCATGATTCCTCAGTGCTTGTCATGGTACGCAGTACATGGAGCTGTACGTGAAACGAAGTGAAATCGCTCAGCTGTAATACCTTCTCTGTGCCCGGCAATCACGCCATCCGAAAGAAGCATGGGGACTGAGATACTACCATGTTGCCAAAGCCTAGACAAGAGCGGTCGAGTTGGCCAGGTTAGGTTCGACTTGCGGACCTTCTGGTCAGTAGATTCGTGCTTTAGCACATGTTGCCAAGCCTAGACAAGAGCGGTCGAGTTGGCCAGGTTAGGTTCGACTTGCGGACCTTCTGGTCAGTAGATTCGTGCTTTAGCAACTGAGCCATCTCGTATCTGTACGTATAGAAATAAAAAGCACAGGGCAAGTTACTTTTCACAAACACGTACAAACCAAATCTAGAGCGCGCTCAGTGTAGCAGGTCGCAGGTTTTTGACAAAGCACTTGAATGAAAGAGTAATATGAACAGCTTTCATATGCGACTGCTGTGTTTGTGTCCTGTGTGGAATTCAGCGAACACTCCCGCTACCCGACTGCAAGGTAGATGATGGCACGCAGGTCATAAATCTGAACGTGTACTCATCATCATCATCATCATCATTCGTGTACTTCGTTGATTGTACTGAGATTGACACCAAATCAAAGGTGAATTTGCTTCTCAAACGTGTTTCAGTTCCCACCAGGGATGACGTTTTCGCAGACAGGATTTTCAAAAAAAACTGTTTTCCCTAGGTCCACCGTTTTTGTGGGTGAAATCACTTGGATCCGATATTTCTCATACGTCTGTTTTTTTTTATTCAGGTCGGATTCTGTTCATCTTCGTGTGAGGAAGCGGCCTGGATGCCGGACTGGTCCTCTGAAAATTCCACAAACTCGATTCAGGGTCGACCTTGTCATCGGTTTGAATGTGGTCAAGTTCATCGCATTCAGTTGGATGATTATGCTGGCTGGAAATGGTTTCGGTCACATGCCGCCTCGCCCGGCAGCAGCAGTAGCAACAGTAGTAGTGCACCGACTGCTATTGGACGCTACTGCTCCGAACTCCTAAAGCTCCGTCAGGACGATTGTGTCGGGGGTGCGAAGGTCTCTTGGCTTGCTTTTGCGTGCGTCGCACGCACAGCTCCCCACGTAATTTATGATTTGGTCCAAGTAAGTTATGTGTTCTCTATTGATTGCTCAGATAGTGTTAGTTGGCTGGGCGCCGGCTTCGTAATAACCTGGGCGAAGAATTCTAAATGCGTGTGCTCATCAGTGAGGGTGAAACCTGTCACAATAATCATTCCGCTTGCCTCCAGTGCGGGCCTCGACTTTGTGTTGAAGTGTCCATGAAGGCCTGTGTACGCTACATGTTAGTTGTGGGGAGAGATGGCCAAAGTGATTAGAACGTGAAGTTACTGACTGGCAGGTCCGTGGTTCGAACCCGATCTCTGCTTCTCGACTACCCCTGTCTAGACTTGGGCAACCTGGCAGTATCCCAGCCCTCGTGCAACCTTCGGGTGGCATGGCAGTTAGGCACCGAAAGGGTGCGACAGCTGAACGGTTTAATTTGCCATGGTCAAACTTGCAAAATATAAACAAGATAGCCAAACCAAATTAAATTTCGTCTTCGTAAATTCACGGGAAGAAGGTACGAACGCACACCATGTAGCAACGGAAAGAAGGAGGTATGGGCTCTTTTTGGAAAGAGTTTTGGACTGGATCGAAGCTGTCAGAACTACTGTTTTGGATTTCTCCGGGAAATGGTATCTCTTCGCACTGGTTTCTATAGGAAGCAGTGAGATGTGGCATGGGCCATTCATAGGGTCTTCTATGGAACAGATCCTTTTTTCGTACGTACTCTCAAACCTTGAGAAGCAAACGCTAAGCCCATACGATTTTCCTTCAGGTCCCTCTCCCTTGGAGAGGGAGATTTCGCACGCGTAACCTCTCTACAGTGCTCACCTCATCCCTAAGACTGTCCACAACACCCGGAAGATGGTCAAATTTATCGTTCTGTGGCTATCAACTCTCCTCACAGATGGATTAGTCGCTTGGATAGATCATCTTATTGCTAGCTAGTAGTCAATATACCTGAATCGAATTGAGAAGGAGACCAGAGTACGCATGGGTCTTTGGATTGTCTCAGGCGGCTAAATATACCCATTGTAGTCGTTCTCATGAGACCAGAGTACTTATTACACCTTTGCATTCCATCTTATTGGACTGGCGAACCTGCGTAGCAGGCCAGAATCTACAGACATTCGTTCGGTTTGGGATTTATGGCTTTTATCCCTGCGGACATTTGTTCCAGCTGTACTATATGGGTAAGTTCTCCTGCAGAACAGCATACTGTCTACGCTGAATAATTCACATCGAGTGAGGCGTATGACGAATACGCTTGAGGGATTTCTCAATACAATACCATCACTTCATTCACACGTTATTCATTAGCCATGCTACTTATCGTAGTTGTAGACGTTTATGTCTTTCAGGTTGCTTTAGCGATCGGATTCTCCGCTCTGACTCATGTTCCTTGTCTTTTTCAAAGTCCCGTGAACCGAACACCACGTCTCCGTTGTCGGCTTTCTCGGGTCTTCGACAATTTCCTACTTCGGGCGTACATCCGGACAATTACTGTGCTGTTGGCTGGTTGGTGTCGAACTCTGACAAGCGGGAACTGAGCGACTTATGGCAGCGAACAGTTGCTGCAGTGTTTCTTGGCCACTGTCTTTCGGTAAGTGATTCTTCCACATGCAGTTCTGTACTTTGAACCGGAGGCACCTCAGCGGTTAAGGCGCGAAATTACTGACCGGAGAGTTCGTGGTGTGAACCCAACCCTGATATCTCGACAGTTCCTGTCCAGGCTTAGGAATCCGGACACTTACTAACCTCAAGAGATCTGATCCACGTTGTAGCACTTAACCTCCGTACTCTGTGTCAAACTGAGGAAGAGACATCTCTCGCTGAAACCTTGCTTTCCCTCTCTATTGATGTGTGTTGTGTCCCCGCATACAAGACCCCACTCCAGTCGTACACCTCAAGCCGCTCTGAACGATCTCAGATATTCTACGTTTCCCTCTTCGTCTATCTGATGATCTCGGAACAATCGCTCGCAGTTTCTAAGACGTAGGAGTTGCTCTCAGCTCTAAGACAGAGAAAGCTTTCATCAACTGGCTCTTGCTCTGTGCGGCCGTCTGGCTCAAACTATATCTTTGGTGACCGATGCGGTAAACTGTGTTTATTTGTCCCGTCGGTGTACACTCCTGCAGGAGGTGATTCTGAGACCCAGAAAATGGGTTTTATCGAGATCTGTTGCAACTGCTTCAGTCAGCAAAAAGAACGAACATAGTCATCCTGATGGATGATATGTAAATGCCCATTTCGGCCGACTGAAACCGGGAGAAGCGCAGTTCGATGGTAGATTTGGAGTCGATTCTCAGTTTGCGGATAATGGGGGTGACTAAGTCAGTTGTGTGCTAATCGTTGTCTGTTCCTGACCAAAGGTGAGACGGTCCAAGTGCATGAAATTACTGACCGGAAGGTCCGTGGTTCGAACCCGATCTCTGCCTCTCGACCTCCCCTATCTAAACTTGCGCAACCTGGCATTATCTCAGCTCTCGTGCTTCTTCGGGTGGCGTGGCAGCTAGGCACAGAAAGGGTGTTAAAGCTGAGCGGTTAACTTTTTTCTTTATCCTGGCCGGTACAAACTTCTTTAAGGCGAATACCACCAATTGCGCCTTGCCAAACCACATTGCGGGGACCTGTTGTTGAAACAATCCACAGCTAATGGAAACGTTGCTTTATACATACCTGAAAAAGGTGCCCTTTCTAGGGTCATGAGTGCCTGATGGCACAAGCTCGACTTCGTTCTTGACTTGAATCCGTTCATTTCTGTCGACGAACAATTGACGAACCCGGACATCCTGATTTATAGGAGAATGGATAAGACATCGTGAGGTTGAACACGACGAATGTGGCGCACATTGAATCCCAACTACAAAATACGCCCTAATTATTTTTTCATGTGAATAAAGAGCGTTTTTTCAATAAGTAGATTTTGCGATGCAGTTGGACTATGTCAGCCATTTCACATTGAATCGCCGTACACTAAATAATATAAAAAAGATGAAAACCAAATTTCAGATCTGGTGTTTATCCCACATCATCATCATCATCATTTTCAGCTGTAAGAACCGCGTACTGGTCGTACACTGGTTGTAGCTGCCACAGTTTCGTTCACCGATGATTGGGGGGGGGGTAGGTAGCTGCGCATTGCACGCGCGAGCTGGTAAATTGGTGCATAAATCCAGCACTGTCAGTGGGTTGTCAAGCGGGG